GGTCCGAAGCTGGAAACATCATGATTCTTATGGTAGAGGAAGCATTAGTGGGCGTGCTACACAAAGTTGAGTAAAAGAGGCCAACCAACTCGACATAGCCAAAGGGGGCTGCGAGTAAACATAAAGCCACCCTATCTTTGTATTCGTCTCCACGACCTGCATCTTACGGTTGTGAAAACCATAAAAATCGTTTGTTTATTTCGATGTTTAGGCCATTTAGTGTATAATCCTCTCAAATGGACGCCTGCCGTCCAAGATAATAAAACGACTAGATTACAACTAACAAGAAAAAAACACTTTCCGTTTATATTATAATGTACGAAGGGCTATTTCAACATACTTTTGAGATGTGATTGAATTCTCGATTTCACATAATCCGAGAATAGGAAGAATAAATAATTATACAGAGTGCAATTATGAATAAGAGTGATAAAAATTTTAAATCGGACTACAAACGCATGGAAAAGTGAGAGCAATTCTTTTGGGTGCAGGAGGTTTGTGACAGATCTGCGAGAAGCAGAGGCGAGAGGGAGGGGAGTTACACTGTGTGATTAACATGTGAAGAGAATATTGGTTTCAAGGAATCTCTTGGTTCGTCATTTTTGAGCTAAATTTCATTTCGAGTGAAAGGGTTTGGTGAAAAGATTCGAAGGTCGATCCCACCAGAAGATGAAGATGTATTCCTCATTAACAATTGTCGATTGGCTTTACTGGAACATTCTTATTGGAGCTGTTTTCGAGGCAATCGCCTTGGATACCGGTTAAAACGTGCGAGGCTTACGTCCATCACCAGACAAGCCGGCGAGTTACTTTACTCGTTAGCCTGAATATGGATGTAAAAATATTGCCCTGCTTTGATGATTTTCATCATAGGCTGGAAGCAAGCTTAGCACGTTTTTATCAAAATCGAAGGTAATTCCCTCGGAAACAGCGTCAAAAAGAATATTCCATTAAAGCCAATCAATGCGTGATCAAAAGGAATCCTCCATCGTTTTCTGGTGGGATCGATCTTCGAATCTCTTCACCAAACATTTTCAATCGACATGGAAGTAAATTCATCAATAATTAACATGGCCCGATTGACGTATGGCATTATTTGCAAAGAAAAGTTGGGTTTCGAGGAATCCCTTGTTCCATAATTGTTAAGCTTACTTCCATTTCGAGTGAGAGTGTTGGGTGAAGAGATTCGAAGGTCGGTTCCACCAGAAGACGACGGCCGATTCCTCTTGACCAACTGTCGATTGGTTTTAGTGAAAGATTCATGCTAACGCTGTTTCCGAGGTAATCTCCTTCGATTCTGGTGAAAAGGTGCTAAACTTTCGTCTGTCATATGACGAACATCATCATAGCAATGGGTATCATCGTGACAACCAAATTCAAGCTTCTGGTAGAAACGACTTTCGAATCTCTTCATCCAACACTTTCACTCGAAATGGAAGTAAGCTCAACAAGCTTGACATTATTGCCTGGACTAAGGGATACTTGCAGTTCCGTTCGAGCTCGGGCTTTCCGGTAGGTAGGGCTCGATGAGGGGTTTGTTGAGTAGCTGCACTCGAGGGATTGGGCAAAGTTGCGTGTGGCAGTGAGCTTGAATGTGAATGGAGTGTTTCTGGACTTTCCTTCAACCCGAGGGTGATGAAGCGTCGTCCGCCCGCTCCTCGGCGACCCAATTGGTCGTAGGTCCTCCCAGGAGTGAAGAAGACGAGATGAAGCCGTAGAGGCAGACGGTAAAGCAGCTGTGCTGCGATGATGTGTATTCGAGCCATGTGAGTGCTTGGTGTTTGGGCTCACTTCATGTTAAACATAGACGAGTTAAATGTCGTCTGAACGCCCTATGAGAAACCGTTGCCATGTGAGCAAAGGGAAAAGTGAATAGCACCTAAATTTAAGGCGACTGTATAGAGTCAAACGTTCCCACAGAGCACATTGGGAGGAACAGATTTGATAAATAGGAGATGGGCCGAATCACTACAACACTCCTTCCCAGAAGCTATCCTGTACTGTTGAAATCCCCTTAAATGACTGGTAGGAAGACTTAAGGGAACGCACCTAGTCCGGAGTCCATTGTCTGAATGATCATTTCTAAAGTTGAACCGTGGACGTGATACATTCCCAAACGTCCACGGTTCAACTTTGGAAATGATCATGCAGACAATGGACCCCGGACTAGGTGCGTT